CTTGAAACTTGAATCATATTGCATATTCATACGTATCCCCTTCTGGAGATTTTCAAATTACGCCTGCACAACAGCCGTTCAAGGTAGAGCAGCTTCCGTCTACGAATAACTTCCAAACCTGATCAGAATTTTCCGGCTGTTCCAGCCTAGTCATTTCAACAATGAAGTCGGCAAACGCCTGACCTTTCACTGCCCGCCTAGGTTCGAAAGTTATCTCCAAGCTTTGCATTTCAACAGCCCAATTGATCATTCTGCCGGATGACTCTATAGTAATCATTGGACGCTTGAGTGGCTGGTCAGTATAGACAATCACCGGATGAGCTAAGAAGTAGGGCTTCAACCACTTGATTTCTTTGTAAAGAGACAACCCAAATTTTTCAATCATTGGGTACCGGAGTTCAGCATTTCTCAGTATATGGCTGATGAAATACACCGGGAGCTGTTTGCCGTCTCTCTTAGCAAGGAGAATAGCACTAAGGGAGTGATTTGAGACGGCTAGGTACATGTAGAGAACCTCCTTAGGCAGGGGGCTCACTAGCCTTGGCAAAGAATGCAAGTGTTGCTTTAACCTCTGAAATGCCGCCTCAGCCTCTTCTCCCCATTCAAATCTAGACCTCTTCCTGATTGCTTGGAAGAAGTAAAGGCACTTGTCACCTGACCGGCTGAGGAATCTTCCCAATGCCGCCAGGCACCCGGTTAGCTTCTGGGCCTCCTTAACAGTGCGGGGTGATTTCATGTCAATCACCGCCTGTACCTTTTCCGGATTGGCCTCTATGCCTCTTTGATCAATCAGAAACCCGAGGAACTTCCCAGACTCAACACCAAAGACACACTTCTTGGGATTAAGCATGACCTTGTGCCGCCTGAGGGTGGTGAAGGTTTCTCGGAGGTCAGCTAGGTGATCCGCCTATAGCTTGGATTTGACTATCATGTCATCAATATACGCCTCTACATTCCTTCCGATTTGATTGGTGAAAACCGTGTTGATCATTTGTTGGAAGGTAGCAGGCGCGTTCTTCAACCCAAACGACATCACCGTGTAGCAGTAAAACCCCTGATCAGTGACGAAAGTCGTCTTTTCCTAATCCTTCTTCCATAGGGGAATCTGATGGAAGCCTGAGTAGGCATCCATAAAGCTCATCAAGGCATGGCCGGCTGTGGAGTCAACCAGACTATCAATCTTAGGAAGCGGATAGCTATCCTTCGTGCATGCCTTGTTCAGATCTGTGTAATCTACACACATCCGCCAGGTACCATTTGGCTTCTTGACAAGAACAACATTTGCTACCCAATCCGGGTAATAGCATTGCCGAATGAACCCAGCATCCAGGAGCTTTTTCACCTCGGCCGCTGCCGCTTGAGACCTCTCCTCGCCTTGATCCCTCTTCTTTTGCCTAACCGGCTTTATTTTGGGATCAACGGCTAACTTGTAGGCAGCTAGATCCGGGCTGACGCCTGGCATCTCCTCCACTACAAAGGCAAAAATGTCTTTGAATTCTCTCAAAAGTTGGAGCAGGTTTGACCCCAACTTTTCAAAAGCTACCGTCTCAACCTTAACTGTTCTGTTAGGACGGCTGTCGTCTAGGACGACATCCACACTCTCACCAGCCGGCTGGGGCCGGGAGTCATCCGGCCTTTCCCCGGCTAGTGATTGCTATTTTGTTTTTCTGGCGGGGGCCATCTGGTCCGCCTTTCTCTTTTTACCGGCTGCCTTGAAGGCAGGCGCGGCTTCCTTGTCCTCGAGGTCAGCAGGTTCCTCATTATGACCGACTGCTATAACAGTCGGCCTGACGTTTGAGAGATAACACTCTCTTGCCGTCTTTTGATCCCCGCTTAGGGCACCCACTGATCCATCATCCCTCTGAAACTTGATCATCATAAGAGAGGGGATGATGACCACCTTAGACTCGTTGAGGGTGAGGCGACCCATAATAAGGTTGTAGGCGGTGAATTCCTCGACCACCAAAAACTTGACAACCATGTGTCTCCCTTCCCCCTTGTCTTCTAGCCGGATGGGTAGGTCAATCCTCCCTACCGGATGCACTACCCCTCCCCCAAAGCCGACTAGGGGGTGGGGAGCCTTGTGCATGCTGCTAGGCTTATACTTGAGCTTTGTCAAGCATTAATAGTTGATCAAGTCAGATAAGCTCCCGGTATCGATTAAGATCCGGCCAACTCATTGATTGGAAACTTTGCATTCGATGACAATGGGGTCATCATGGGGCCGCCTGACCATGCCCCTATCCTTCTCAGAGATGAAGAACTTAGGGAAGGTGTCTTTCGACGCCTAGCCCTCATCCTTTGGGCTGGATAATTTTCTGATGTTATCCTTGGTGCCCCGGATGGTGGGACCTCCGCTTGCGAAGCCGCCTGCTATGGTGAAGATGTGCTCTTCATCAATTTCATAGCTTGCAGCCGGCTTTCTGGACGGTTGTCCACCGCTTGATTTAGGGTTGCCCTTGGACTTCACCAGGTAGGACTCTAGAGCCCCCTCATCAGCCAGACGGTCCAATAGCCGCTTGAGGCTATAGTAACCATTGGTGTCATGGCCAACGTCCTCATGGAACTAGCAGTACTTGCTTTTGTCTCTGTTCTTGACAGAGCTTTTCATTGCAGCCGGTTTTTCAATTGTCAACCGGTCCTTTATCTCCATGAGGATGGAGGAGCAGTCTTTGTTGAACTCGTACTTGCGGACGTACGGTTCCAACTTCCTTTGCTTCTTCTGGGACGGCTGACCTAGGCGGTCTGCTGCCCAGACTTCTTTTCTTTTCTTTTCTTCTTTTTTGGCCGGTTGGGTAGGCCGACTATCTCTCCTGTCGAACCGCTTGGGTTCCGACGGATGCTTGATGGCGCAGAGCTCAGTTGCCTGTATATAGGCCTCCGCCTCCATCAGCGCCTCTTGGAGGGTAGCTACCCTCTTGCGGACCAGGTCGAATTTGAAAGTTGACCCATCCTTTAGACCCTTGAAGAAGTCTGTGTATGCAACTTCGTCAGACAACCCCTGAATCTGAATTCTCATCAGATTGAACCGCCTGACATAGGAGCGAAGTCCCTCCTTGTCACCATGCTGGATTGCCCCTAGGTCGAGACTTGTCTTTTTTGCAGGGATGTTCATGAAAAAGTTGGACGCAAACAGATATGCAAGCGTCTTGAAGTTGTTGATACACCCAGCCGGCAGGTTGCCGAACCATCGCTGGGCAATGCCCTTCAATGTAGCCGGGAAGCAACTGCACCATGCGGCGTCATCCAACCCCTGTAGGTACATGAGGTTGGTGTATGCCATTAGGTGATCTTCCGGGTTGGTGGTACCGTCGTAGGCACCAACCAACACATTTTTAACCTTGGCCGGCTGTGCCGTCTCGGTTATTTCCCGGAAGAAAGCCGAAGGCTGTTCCCCAAGGTTAAGCAGATGGAGCTGCCAGTCCATAGGCTGGACTTGGTATGCCGCCTGACCCCTGAAGGGAGCCGACTGCATGAATGGAGATCCATACGGAGCGTATTGCTGTTGAGGCACATACGGAGCCTGCTGGATCACACACCGCGTGACTGACTCCCTTGCTGCGTCTCTGAATGCTTCATAGAAGCATTCCGAAACTGTCTAAGTAGGTCGACGTAGAGACCGACTGAGTCATGCTCTGACTTCTCTTCTCCTGGATGAACATCCGGGCGTCAGAGAAAGTCTTCTTTGACCCATCCGGCTATGTATGCCGGATGGCCTTCCTTTGCCCTGATTCTGGGAAACGAAGTTTAGATAGGTCGATCAGGGGCCCATCTGTCCCCTTGGGGTTGGGGTGAGGAGTAGGCACCCGGTCTTTGATTTGCTTCTTCCCGGAGGAAGAAGGCTTCTTCGCCGACTGACCCTTGCTTGAGCTAGTTGACTTCTTGATAATGTCCTTTATTTCCCCTTTGAAACTTGTCATGAATTTCATGAGCTCGTCTCTGGTGATGGGGACATCACCCTTCGCCGGCTGGGGGTTGTCCCACAGGCTTGCCGCCTGGGTTGCTGGGACCAACTTTATCGGGGCCCCTTTCCCTTGTTTCCTTGGAACGCGTGCGCCTACAGCGGAATGACCCGTCTGGGGCCATGTAGGTTTCGACATCGTAGTCGTCACCACTGCCACTTTCATGGTCCGTATGGACCTCAAGGTCAGTCGTAGGCCGGCTGCCCTTTGCATTCGGTACAGCATCAGATGTCATCTCAGTAGTACTCTCCCCACAGACGGCGCCAAATGTTTCGGATGTTTTTAGTCCCTCGGGAGAGTTACAATACTGAGTATGAGCGCCTGCCTTTTGTACCTGCAAAACCACGAAACTCCGGTTGGGTGGAGTTCCGCCTCCGAAGATCAAGTTAGTATGATTCCGGATGAGTAAGCATGCGGAAAGTAAAATGGTTGTTTCCCTTTGATTCAAGGAGATTCCGCAATTAATATTGCTCGGGATTTGTGTATGTATTTATGAATGCCAATAAATGAGGATGATTCCCCTATTTATAGCAGATGAGAATCTGCTCCCCCATTGGGGGTTCAATGCCACGTGGCATCCTCTGATTAGATCCTTTGGTGCCTGTATGAGGGTGACACGTGTCAGGCCCTCATTGGGCCACGTGGCAGGAGTAATTTTTACCCCAATCATTACCCGAAATAACCTGAACCAAAAAACTTGAATAGGTTGATATCCAAAATAACCTAACTCGATCAACCGGATAACTCAATCTAGATTTTGCCTTGTATCGACATAATAATTTAGCATGACTCAAGTTTGAAATAGAATGGTCCGACCTGACTCGACCCAGACACCTGAATTGACACAACTAAGTAATAGAAGATAATTGCCCACAATAGAGGTGTCAAAAAACTACCCGACCAATCCGACCTGAAAACCGGGTCCAAAAAAATTTAACTTAAATATTACCTTGTTTAATCACAATAATTTAATATGATTCAAATTTAAAAATAGACCAACCCGATTTCACCCAACTCAATTCATATACCCAAATTTAAAAAGTCCCAAAGTCCCCGCACCAAATCAAACTGCTACTTCGTGACTTCCACCTCAATTTACGCGGCGTTCATAAATTTTGTTCATCGTTCTCTCTATTTTCAACTCTTTACAATTTATTGTCAAAAAATATCTTTCAAATTTCTCTTGAAAACTCAACAAAAATGGCGAACAACCCAGTAGAAGAATCAATCCCGCTGATAGGAACCACCAACACTAACGAAAACCAATCGAACCTAGAATCAGAATCAAGCCCTTTGTTGCGAACCACCGACACCAACAAAAACCAATCAAACCCAAATGCTACAATCGATGATTCAAAGCTTCCTCCATCTCCGCCGCCGAAACAACCGCCTGTTCCGAAGGTATCTCAGCCTCAGGTGGCCGAAACCTACGGTTGGTCTGCTGATGGCTTTCCTATGGATGTGGTTGGTCAACCTATGATGAGCCGAACTCCCTGGAATTCTGGCCTTTGTTCTTGTCTTGGTCGCAATGATGAGTTTTTTAGCAGCGATCTTGAAGTTTGTGAGTATTTCTTTTTTTTTTTTTTTTTTTTTTTGTTAATTATGAATTATTTTATAATTTCCGCTGAATTGGGGTTTTGTGGATAGAATTTGTTGATTATTTTGATAGATATAAATTAAGCTTGTGATTGTTGGAGAGATTTGAGTTTTTTTTTTTTCCTTTTAATAGGGATTGCGTAATTTGCTTAATTACAATTTCTTGAATGTCTTATTACCATTGGTGAAGGAAACATTGATCATGGGTTGACGTTGTTTCTTGAATGTCATATTACTCATATAACCATTTGTAGATGACACAAATTAGTTCTGGTTTATGTTGAAACCCATCAATTGCCATGTATAGATCCGCTATTGAGGGTCTTCGGAGTCGCGTGCAACCTTAGCTTTTGCTATTTTCTTGATATTTTTACACCTAAATTGCATTGGTAGGAAAATTATTTGCTTTATTAGTTATGTTTTCGTATTAATTGCATTGCTTTATTAGAAGATGTTCTTAATGAAAGGAGGTTGTGGTGGTTGTTAGTAATTTTGGTGGATGAGAGAATAAAAGGGAGGATAGGAAATAGAATTATGCTCGGAGTTCATTACCTTAAAATGAAGATGATGTTTACCCACCCTTTCCTAATGTAATTGATTATCCCTGTATGAATGTAATAAGAACCCACGGCTGCCTCTTCCAAGTACCATTGCCTCCACATCAGCCTCATTGTTTAAGACCTAATTACCCCTTTCCCTCGTCTCAAGCGTGGCCTGTGGGGTAATTTTTCTGGTAATCTATACTTTCAGTTAAGTTGAAGCTCTTATGTGGAATTTAAATCTATGACATTGGAAGAGAGATTGCTTTTATCCATTGAGTCAAAAGCATTGTAGACTGCAGTCTAAGCTTTTACTGTGCTTTTGTCTGATGTATAGTGATACCAGATTAATTATTGCTAGTGAATATGCATTTGCTATTGGAGCTTAAGAAGTTTGAACTCTGGATTTGAAAAGATCTTTAAAAGGAAAGTCCATGAAAGTAAAAAGTTATTTTTACAAATTGTAGTTCCAGAGCAAGGGTTCAAAGTTATATCCACGATACACTTCCTGCCAACTGCTTTTTCTGAAATTTGACTAAATTGGTCACTACTGTCATTTGTTTTGTTTTAGAACCATATCAGCATATCCTTAATTCCTTAGGTCCCCTTGCCAAGAGCTGTTTGGTGACATGCCTTGATTCCAATGTATGTGATTACAGTAATATAATATCTTGAATTAGGAATAGATGTATATGCTTGCCAAGAATTTATTAAAAGGTTCATGCGTGGTATTAAATTTTGACCGCATCACCGCTGTAAAGAATTTTGAGCTTACCACAACCGAAATATTAGGCTACAGCAGCCTCGTACCATCCGTAATGGCCGCGAAAGTGGTTCCGTAACCGTTACTAAGACTCACTGTAATCTTGAAATCATGACCACATCCAAGATTTTAAAACAAGGGTTCATGAGAAGTTGAGAACTTTAGATTTACTATCTAGGTAAAACTCTTTCTTTAGTATATCTCGAACATACATTTTATACTAAGAAAAGGCATTTAAACTCTAGATTTTCTTTTAAATTGACAGGGAACTGCTAAAACCAAAATTAAAATAACTTATATGTATAAGGGGATAGATACTGACTGTGAATGGGATTGTTTTGAGCAAGTGAGAAAAGTTCTGGTCTTTTTGGAAAGGCTAATGTATAAATGGTGTCAATTTGATCTTTTCATGTTCAAAGAAGATGTCTAAATGTGAATTAAATCCCTGAAATGTTGTGAACATGTGAGGCAGTATCGCTAAAACATGTATTTCCTTTATACTATAAATTTGCTTTCGCAAGGAAAGGTTTGGCTCTCTCCAATGATAGGAATCTTGTGACTGTTTGATAATAAGGAAGTACTGTATGGTTTATCAACACAATCAGCTTGTATATATATAGTTTCAGGTAGTTGTTAAGGGGAGGCTTGACTGGCAAATATCATTTATTGTTTTTATCTAATTCATAAGTATCAAACCTTTATAGAACTGGATCTGTAAATAATTCCTGTACAAGTTGACTGGCCGTTTGCCTTTTTGATTAATGGAGTCAACATTGGCTGAGACTGTAAATCATTAATAATACAGATAATGAGTTGCTATTTCAAGTGTTCATCCAAAAAAATTTACTGATTCGGGCTCTATTGAGGCCACTCATTATTATCCAGGTTTCATATCATGCCTTAGTTAATTTGTGCAAAAGCATATGCGTAGTATTATGTGAGTGATATATTTCTTACCCTAGCCAAATATTTTGGTTTTCAGGTCTTCTTGGAAGTATGGCACCGTGTGTTCTCTATGGAAGCAATGTCGAGAGGCTGGGGTCAACCACGGGGAGTTTTTCTAATCATTGCTTGTCTTATGCTGCTCTGTACCTGATCGGAAATTCCTTATTTGGGTGGAACTCTTTGGCTCCTTGTCTTTCATATACAAGCCGTACTGCTGTTCGTCGTACTTTCAATCTTGAGGCAGGTTCTTTTACTCAATGATGTGGTTGTTATGTCTTTACTTTCTACTTTAATACCAATCTTTTGTGCATAATTACTATCCAACTTTGTTTGCACTTGCTCTTTGGCTTTTTCCAACAGTTGAAAACCCAAACTGGACATTCAGTGTAGTGGACGCAGCCTTGTGCATTTTGGATATATGAACTGGACTCTTGATATTTTGTAGCTCAATTGCATCCATTATTATAATTTATTACTGCCAATCTGTGATCTGATAGGACACAATTTACTGATGAAAGCTAAAAAACAATGGTTTATCTCATAAACATGTATTTTAGTGAGATCAATATAGGTTTACTGACAAGTTACTGTATTTACGTCTTTATTTGACAACTTTTTTTGAATCATTCTTTTTCCTTCTCTTTGTAAGGGAGATCTGGAAATAAAGTGGACAGTATTATATTTTAATGTTCCCTGATAAATTTTGACAATGAAACCTTAGCCCTAAAATTTTTGAATATTGTGTTCTTTTAAATTTATGCGTATGGATGTTAATTCACTTAAAATCCAAACTTCTTTGACATAAAGTTAAACAGGAAATAGGATGAATCAACATTCTTTTACAAGCTGTTTGAAATTTGTTAAGCCTTTGCTTGACATTCATGGGTTTGGTCTGACATGCATATTTAGGTTGTTGCTTTTGGTGCTTTGTGTGATCAAGGATGTAATCATGTAGTGTAATTACATGTGCAAAAACATGGACATGTGATCCAAAACCCTTATATAATGTGAGAGCATTATGATTTGGCTTGAGGTTTGGTTGGTTTTGATAAAATTATCTTCTTATATTTGGTAGTCTTGTGCAGCATGTGTGTGTGTGTTTTAATTATGATTTTGCTTTGGAAAGTATGGGTCAAAGAAGCAGTATATGCATTTTTTAGGAGTATAGGTGTTAGGATCCACCACTCGATTGTGACAATAGGTCAGCTGCTATTCTGTTTTTCATTAAATGTCTCTTGAATGATTTGAAAGCCTCTACTGATCTGCTGAAGTCTAATGCCCTTAATCTTCCACCAATATTAGACTAATCAATTAAAGTTTTAAGGAAACCTTTCACAAAGATAATTGGTTTATTTTCTTAATAGGGAAATTGTGAGGCTCTAACACGAAACTATGGGTGTTGTGGAAGCATTTTTGATGATGAGATGCAACGGGAACAGTTGGAAACCGCTTGTGACTTTGCCACCCATGCCTTGTGTCATCCATGCTCACTCTGCCAGGAAGGTCGGGAGATTCGTCGAAGGCTGCCACACCCTGCTTTGAATGCTCAGGCAGTGCTGGTTATGGTTCCTCCTGGGGGACAGGCTATGGGTCGTGATCAACCATGAAAGCACTCTCATATTGTGCCCTGAATATCTTTAGTGATATGTCTATACTTGATCGATTATGTTTAATAGACCTGCAGTAAGCAGCTGTGCAGTATTACTTTTGTGTGTTGATGTTAGAAACATGAAAATGGAAGAAGTGTGAATTATGTCGACTTTACTATCAATCTGCAATACACACATTCTTCCTTTTTAGGGAAGTGATGCATTATCTGGATTTAATGATAAGGTTGCGTTTTTGCAGCTCCTAGATTGCAGTATTGCACAAGTGTTTAACCTCAAGAAAAGACAGTTTTACTTGAGGTAAAACAAAAACTACTATTGAAGATCGGTTTAGTATTGCTGTAGTTTTATGTTTTTGGTTTTTTGTTTTTCAAAAACATATGATATATTGTATGTCATAATGAATTAAAAAATTGTCAAACTTGTTAAAATTGTAATAATTTAAAAACTGAGTAATTGACAATACAAAAGTGAAAATAACTTAATTTAGTATCTATTCGGTGTCACTGTAGTTTATTTTTTTGGATTTTTGTTTTTCCGAACAATATGATAAAAAATTTGTCGAATTTGTTTTAATTATAATAATTTTGAAATTGATAACAGAGAAGTGGAAATAACTTAGAAAACAAAAAACAACCGTTTATTTCTTGTGTATAGTTTCCAAAAAAAAAAAAACGATCACAACCAATCCCTAATAACTAAATCGAAAAAAATTTATAGTTTGGTGACATAACATCTATCCCCCATTAGACATTGAAGGATCATACAAAGTTGCAGATTGCATAGTTGTCAATTTTATAATAATATAAAAATAGTATTTAAACTATGATCCTTCATTTATATAGGCAAGGGATATCAAATACTCCCTTTGTTAATTAATTTTTGTTTGTCCCAATTTTCTTTTTAATCCGTCTTTTTAATTGCCCTTTTTTATTTTTGGAAATATAATCACTCCTTTTCTCTCATAATCATCCCATTAACCCCACCACCGTTTATTGTCATCATTTTTTTTCTAACCAAAAATTAATAAAGTAACATACATTACCTTTACAGAGGAAAAAAAAAAGGACGGAGGGAGTTAAGGCAAGGGGTGATGATGGTGTGCCCTATATTACATTGACACTGGTACGGGTATCCGATATTGGTATGGTTCCGAGTGTCCGATACGTCATTTTCTAAAATTTAGGAAACGGAGACACCGTCTTAACTTTGGACTTGGATACAGATACTTTAATAAAAATTTTTAAGGAAAAAAAAAATCAATCACAAAAATGTTTTTATTTGGCAAAGATCAAAAATCTTTTGAGTCGATATTTATTCAATAAATTTTAATACATATCTTTTAAATAACTAAGATAAATAATATAATATTTAATTCAAACATTATTAAATCTCATGGAAGCTGGTTTGGGAAGCCAAACCAAACCAGATTTATTATTAAAAAAATGAGCACCACAAAGCTTTTCTGTACCAATTTCTTGGGAAACCCCAAAGCTTTTTTTTTTTTAAATAAATGTACAGTAAATCTCTTTCTTAGGAGACTAGAAAAGCTTTTTAAATAAAGTTATTTCTCAAAAAAAATAAAATAAAGGTAAAGAAATACATAAAACCCTTCATCTTTCTTTAATGGCCGCTTTCTTAGTTCTTCCCTCTCTACTCTCTCTCTCTAGAAGCTTCTTTTCTTCAATGGCTGCTGTGACTTCATCTTCCTCCCTGCTTCACTACAACATAACCGTACCCAAGAGCTAGACGACGAGTCCAAACAAATTTCATACCCGGATCCGTACCGTGACGGGTCGTACCGACCCGAGTTTGACGACAAAAATGCCGTGTCCGAGTAACATAGGGTGCATGTGCCCCTAAAAAGTCTAACACCGTACTTCGGTACCACCCCTCATTCTTTTAATATGTTATTATAGGCCTTGTTTAGTAATCGGCTACTAGCTATTTCTCTTGTGAACTGCTATTCGTCGTTCGCTAATTATAGGGTGACACTCCCATTTTTAGGTGAAATGACTTTTTTGTCCTTGTGTGTATTTTTTCTATATAAGGGTCCACCATAAGTCACTTTAGATATCGACAAGTTAAATATTATTCCCGAGCCCACCACTTGTGTTAAAAAAATCCCGATGCCCAAAAAATCCCGACCCCACTATTGTACGGTAATCCCGAGCAATTTAAAAATCCCGAGGCACAAACGGAAAGTGTATCGAGCCGTGTTAGACGATGAACGACGACAACGTTCATACGCCTAAAAAAAAGGAAATTCTGGGCGGATCCCACTTAAGCTTCCGGAAATTTTGGACAGAAGCTTATATATATATATATATATATATATATATATATATATATATGTATATATTTTATTATTATTTTTTTTTAACGTTAGTGCCTGTTTTATTATTATTATTATTATGAAAATAGTGATATTAGTTAATATTACTTTATATTATGTATTATTTGTTAATGTTATGTACTTATTATTATTATTATGGTTATTATTATTATTATTATTAATTTTGTTAATATTACTAATTTTTTTGTTATTATTATTATTATTATTATTATTATTATTATTATTAAATTTAAAATACTAATCCTTGCGTGTTTTATGTGTTTCTGTTGTAATTTTATAGGATTCGAAGGTTGAAGGAGGCGGTGACGTTGTGAATTACAGTGCACATTTTGTGACAGACACGGTTTTTCGAACGTTTGAGGATGCAGTAAAATGGGCGAATGCTGTTGCCATAAATCTAGGATTTATTTTGGTGAAATCGTCTTTCAACAAAAACAGAGATGGTCGACCATATCGGTATTTGAGATGTGATCGGGGACGCAGGAGTAAGCCGAGAGATCTTGAGAACGCAATTCAGAAGGACACAAAAACCAAAGCCAATGGTTGTCCTTTCTACATCAAGATATACTACGAGTTCATCACCAACAGTTGGATTATCCGGGCGAAAAATGATGAAATTGGGACCCACAACCATCCAATGATTGCGTATCCAGAGGGGCATCATAAAATTAGTGGGTTGAGCCCGGATGCGAAGCAGGTTGTGTGTGACATGACGAAGTATAAGGTTGCACCGCGTAACATCATGGCGACTATTGCCGAGCAGTTTCCCGATGATCATCCAAACATCAGACACATCTACAACTGTCGGAATGACCTGAGATCGGAGATGTCTGACGGCAGAGGAGTTGTTCAGTAGTTTCTATATTTGGCGAGACAGAGTCAGTATCTTTACTGGGTCATGTCTGATGATGAAGGTGTTTTACAGCACGCCTTTATGGCGCACCCAGTCACGGTAGAAATCTTTCGAACGTACCCATATGTGATCGGTATGGATTCCACTTACAAGACCAACCAATACGGGATGCCATTCTTTGAGATAGTTGGTGTGACACCGACAAATCAGAATTTCCTCGTTGCTTACATGTTCATGCGCAACGAGTGCACGACAAGCTATCAATGTGTTTTGCAGAGATTGAGAGACTTGATTGGGTATAATAAGAAATCGTCGGTTATCTTGTCAGACCGTGAGCTTGAGCTATGTGCGGCCTTGAGGGAAGTGTTTCCAAGGACCCCGCACTTACTTTGTCGATGACACATTAACAAAGATGTAGAGGCTCGGGTCACTGCTATGTTAAAAAACAAGAAGATCAGTGCGCAATTCAAAAATGGGAAATGGAAACGTATCATGGATGCTGCAACCGAGGAGGATTATGATGTTGCTGTAGATACAATGAAAGATCGGTGGGTAAGTTATCCAGCGGTGATACAATATGTTGAGAGAACATGGCTTTGTCATAAAATGAAGTTTGTGACATTCTGGACAAACCAAGTTCTTCATCTAGGCAACACCAGCACTTGCAGAGTTGAGAGCCAACATTCGGCCGTGAAGATGTGGTTTGAATCTTCGACAGGTTCGCTGTTTGGACTTTGTTATAGTTATTGATTAATATTAATATTTTTATTGTTATGATGATGATTTTTTTTTTGTTATGATTATTATTATTTTGATTAATACCGTATGGGCCCGAGTTCATTGCCACATTGGTAATCAAATCATCGTAATTCGTAACGGTTTAGAGGCATCTAGGTCGAAGATTAGTCAGAAGTACCAACAATTGCCACTGCCACGTATTAACGGCAAGGTGTCTCAGCATTGTTTGAAGGTTCTCGATGACGAGACGAAAATGATGAGGGAGCTGAGCTATCAGGTGTATGAGCGATGTGGATGTGCAATGCGTGTCACCCACGGTTTGCCCTGTGCTTGCCAGATACATGACTCTCTAGCTGCGGGGACAGGGTTGTATATCAGGAAAATTCACCCGTTCTGGAAGACCTTGGTTATCGGTGATGGTGATGATGGACCGATGTTCGGTAATGACTCGACCGAGGACACCGCACATTTTCGTTCTCTGATGGATGAGGTAATCGGTAGTGATCCTGCTGTTCTTCGAAACGTATCTCGCATCATTGAAGAAGAACTACATCCGGATCATTCAGAACTCGGAGATACTGCTGTAAACCACCAGGTTCGTGGTCGACGAAGAAACAAGGATACAAGACGTGATCCTTGTTATTTTGAACATGTGAACCGCCAGAATACTGCACGTGGTGCACGCCAAACAGATAAGATTGACTATTGTGATTTTCACGTATTTCATTATTTACTGTACTAATAACTGAACCCTAAATTTGTGTAGAAGATCCATGTGACATTAGCCAAAGCCGTTATTGACACATGCTTCCAGGACCGATGTTGCCTTACATTACAGGATGGAAGGATGTCATCGGCGATGGTAACTGCGGCTTTCGTTGTGTGGTCGAGTTCTTCTTCGGTGATCAAGGACGATGGTATGATGCTCGAGAAACAATAGCAAACGAGGTCCTTGGTTATCCAGCCCTGTACGAGAGGATTTACGGGCTTGGAAGACTTGGGATCAATGTGGAGCGAATTAGATGGGACGGTGGGGCGGTTGATTCACGTCATTGGATGGCTGCAATTCAAGATTTATTTCTTATTGCTAATTGGTTCAACGCAATGGTTATTATTCTTGGTGTTGGCACCGTACCAACCTGCTACTACCCATGCCTCACGATTTTGCCGTTGCGGGCACGAAGGGGGGTCACTGCACCTGAACGAGAGTTTGTGATCGCTACAGTTGTGGGCTCACATTTTATCTATATTGACCTTGCACCAGATTCACCTCTTCCCCCGATTGCAGGTTGGTGGACCGAGAACCATGAGCCAAGTGTTGACGGTTGGGATCAGATTCACCTCATCAGATACAGGCACTCTACCCGACGAGTACATGGGGGCGCTCCCATCTGACTGATGCTCCCCCGACCAAGTACCAGCAGACCCGTACTGCTGCTCATGATGAAACGGTGCCTCCGAAGGTCCTGCACCACCTAACTCCCTCCTAACTGATGCATTCAAACGTCTTGATCTTGCATGTCGAGCGCCCGAACCATCAATCTGCATTAAATAAGTACAAAATCAGATTTCATTAATACTTACACACACAACTATGATATCAAACTTGAATCGCTAATATTCAAATTCAAAAATATCATTTCAAAACTATAATAAACCAAATCAAATAAACAATAATAACAACATTACCAAGGATCAATAATAACTAATAATAATTTGACAATAATAAACCACAAAACCGACAATGGTAATAACAACAACAACAATAAGAACAACAATGGTAATAACAACAACAACAATAATTTCAATCCATTTTTTTAGTCGAAAAAATATTAATAACGAGGAAAAAAAATTCCGAAACTAATAAAAATACATAACAATAACAACAACAACAACAATATAATCACGAGGAAAAACAATATAATTACATAACAACAATAATTACAATAACAACAATACATAGCATTAATAATTACATAACAACAATACATAACAATAACAATACATAACAATAACAACAAAAACAATAATCATATTAGTCCAAAAAAAATAACATAACAATAATCACGAGGAAAAAAAAATTCCAAAATTAATAAAAACCATAATACATAATAATTACACATAACAATAACAATAAAAACAATTAAAATTATATTACTAAAAAAAAAAATTACATATCAATAATTACGTGGAAAAAAAAATTCCGAAATTAATAAAAAACAAATACATAACAATAACAATCAAATTATATTACTCAAAAATAATGAAAAAAATATACTAATCACGAAGAACAGAAAAAAAAAAATTACGAAAAAACCCAGACTTCCGCCTGAAATTTCCGAAAGTCTGGGGAAATTTCAGGCGGAAGTCTGGGTTTTTTCGTAATTTTTTTTTCAAAATCAGAAACAATACAACTACAACCAACCTGCTCGCCGCCACTAACACAGCCCCACGACCACCGTATGTAAGCCTAATGCGTCGCCCATCCGCCATACCCGGATTCAACCTTTGATTGCTGTTCGTTGTTCTTTGTTTGATTTTCAAAGTTTGGGGTTTTTTTGAATAAAATTTTCTGATTTTTTTTTAATTTCTGACTTTTTTTTAGAGAGAGAAAATTTTAGAAAGAGAGTGTGGGGGTTGTGAAATGACTTGTGCGTTTCGGAAGTCAGTTTCTCGAGTATTTATGTACGAGGGGAAAATTAGGAAATTCAAGTAAAAAATGCGAGCGTCACCTCGTAATTTGCGAACAACGTTTAACAACACCCTTTCTCTTGGGTGGTCTAACCAACTATTTGCATTGACTTTTTATATTGGTTGTATGATTGTTGGCTCTTAATAAATATGTTTGGTGAAGTTGGTTGCTGGCTATAAATGAGCTTTAAGGGCATTGGTATACTTTATTATCTAATAATTATTATTACACAAATTCTTAAATAAACCTGGTCCACAATAAATTTATTGTGGACCAGAAATGACACGTGCCAGCTACCCCTACTACCAGCTTCTTACAAATTACTACAACAATCTATTTTTTTTCCCTTTCTTTCTTTTCGCAAAACAAAACGCACCTTAGCTTACACTTTCTCTCTCTTCCAAGCTTCCCTTCTTCCATTTTCTCTCTCTTCAAAATCAGCTTTGCCATTTCTGTAAAATTGCTTGAATTCTTCTTCAATGGCAAGAACTCGAGGTGGTGGCACATTTCACCGGAGAAGAGGCCTTCGTTCTTCAGCAACAAAAGTAGATCAACCACTTTCTAGTATAATCTTTGTTTATCATTTGATTTCTGCAGTTTTGAGCTGATTAATTGATCAACCACTTCAGCTACAAAAGGAAATTACTATTTGCATGAATTTTTGTTTGAATTTTGTTTCGTATTGAAGATTATTTGAAAATCTAGGGTTTTTCGATGTTCGATTGTTTTCTCTGTTTATTGTTTGATTGAACACATAAAACCACAATAAATGTTCGATTGAATTTTGTTTCGATTGTTTAGCTGTTTGTTTTCTCGTTGAATTTTGATTGATTTTAATTTTTTTCATGATTTAGTTGTTTTCGTTGTTGATTTATTGTTTTTGAGTTTAGTTCCAGTACTTGATGATGATTTGTACTTGATGATGTTTTGTACTCGATGATGATTTGTGCTCGATGATGTTTTCGCTGTTAATTCATTAGTTTTTATGTCTTTGTTGTTTGAATGAAGTTTACTGAATTTTCGAGCTTAGATACTTTGGTTACTGGCCTGCATTATGTAATTTGTAATGGTTCTATTTTTTAGGGTTGATTCTTGTGATTTTCTGGTCATTTTTGTTTTAGAAAGGCCACTATAATTTACATTTTGATTTCTTTTGTATAATAATGGTGCCCAATGCTTGAAGAAGAAAACTAGAGCTAACAAGAAAAAGAGTGTTGCTATAGAGGTTCATGAAAATGTTCTTGAGCAACAAGTTTCTGCAATTGGTTCACCTTCGTCTCGTCGTAAGAGAAATCATGAAGATGAAGCTAAAGCTGCTGCTCTTGTTCATCCTAAGAAGCCAAGGATAAGAACGAAGAAATCGATAGTTGAAGTTGGTGGTGATGTACTTACGTAAATAACTTTATTTACTTTGGAGTGCTCTCAAAAAGTTAGATTCAAAATGTATGTTGGTGTGACTATGCAAATTTGGGACTGGATTGTGGTTAAGTTGTGCTTCTTTGACCTTTAATTATTGGGCACTAATTTGAACTTGTCAGACTGCATTGATTTTTTGATTTGTTAACTTGATGTTGATTTAATGTTGATAGCATTATTATTTCTACTTTCTAGATTGCGGCCATTTTAAACTAAATGTAGGCCTTTGCATTTGGTTGACATGATGTCTAACTTTACTCTTGATCAAAACAATTCTGTAAATGAAATCGGTTTTAGAGGTTTGTTATCATTGAAGTTGAAAAGGAATGCTACTAGTATGTACAGGTGGCTAATTGATTCTTTTGATTGTGGTAGCTTCATGTTTTGAATCAATAATAATAAGGAGTTTGTGGTGACTGAGTATGATGTGTATGACGTGTTTTGCCTTCCTTTGAACCCCAAAAATGTTGAGGAGATACCTAGATCTGCTAATAAAAATAATTCAGACTTTGTTTTCAAACATAATTAGAGATTGCATTTTGGGTTGACAGATGACAATGATCAAATTCCACTTAATTTGTTAGAAACTAGGATACCTACTTTAGGTCAAGGTGGAGATGAGTTTAAGCAACTCTTTATTATGCATGCAATATCCACGTTTTTAGCTCCTACTTCTAACAGAACCACTGATCTTAGGATTGTCAAGGCACTTGATGATGTTGAACAAATTAAGAATTTGAATTGGTGTAAATATATTCTTGAAAAACTGTGTGAAGGTGTTAAAAATTACATAAAAGGAGAAATTCAGAACTGTTGTGGTTGTATTTTGATGTTGGAGATTATTTACTTCCATAGGTTGAAATTTAGGAATGTTGAATTAAGTACTTCTTTACCCTTAATTCAACATTGAAATCATGAGTTGATTAGGGATAGAATTAAGAAGGAAAAATTGTCCAAATGTTTTGGGTGTGAGATTTTACTCTCTGATGTGTATCCTGTTAGTGGTAAATTGAAGTTTCTGGATGGACATGTTGTGGGTACTGCAGGGAAAAGTATGGGGAATGTTACGTTGTGGGGATTGATAATGTTGTGAGGAATGTCGGGGGGAGTGTTGATGTGCTTGATTCCCAGGGTACAATACAGCTCATTCTCCCACCATGTTCGATGTCAGATTAAGAGATCCATTTGGCTGCTATTGATGTAAGGAGCAGCTGGCTTTTATTTTATATTATTATTTTTATTATTGGATATGATTTAAATGTTTATACATGTTTTTTTTAATGTTTTTGCAGCCCGTTCATGAGCAATTTTTGTTCATGAAAAGAGATATGCATGTGATTTCTTGTTTTTACAATGACAAGATAAAAGAGATTCTTCTTTCACGTGGTGAGGCCAACAACTCTCCTAGTATTAATTTGTCCCAGAATAATTCGTTTTTTTATGGATCCTCGAGTTCAATCTGTGATTGACGAGATCTCCGGACTTGCTATTTGGTGACAAAATTACCCGAGGTGTTGGATCAAATTTTTACATTTGACCACAACAAAACAAATAGAGGGAGAAAGGTTATTAGAGGCACTTTGCCTGTGATTGGCTTTGAAAATATTCTTGCAAATGGAGGGTCCAGGTGTTTGTTTTCTTTGGATTGAAAATCTGGTGAAAAGCTTATACTTATTTCACACTTTTTGAAGTTAAATAACAAGGAAATGAAGCTATTGGATTCATTAGTCCTAGAGATTGTTGACTATTGCATTATTAATGATTCTTGTTTGGCTCCTAAGTAAGTAACCTTTTGTTTAATTACATTGATTTTCTCTTATTTATTTATTTATGAAACACCTTTTTAATTCTTATTTTATACTCTTTGACTCAGTGAACTGTTGGTATTTTTTCACGAAAAGCATTTGATTCAAAGGCAAGAATTCTACACATTAATTAGGAGAGCCTTCTGAAATCATGAGCAGTAGTATTTTGGATTGCTCGGCATTGCTTCTCAAAGAAAATCATAAATATTTAAAGGATGGACCTCGAAAATTGTACTTTGGTTCTTCAATTAGTGTGAGTTTTTTTTAATTATTTCAAGGTTTATACTTTTTACTTTTTTTTGAATTGTTAAAATATTATGAAGGTTACAATAGTAGAAGCTGCCGGCAGTGATGGCAATTCACAACTAATGGACAATGTTTATCAAGGTTTGGAGGAGTGGATGACAAGAGCTTGCAATGATTTTGATTTGTCAGAAATGGAGCTGGTAATACTTTCTATTTTTTTATGCTTTGAAAAATATAGTTCCTTTTTTTTTATGTATAGATACCTTTTTTGAAATGAGAGTGACTATTGAAAATTGCATAAGTATATTTTTAAAAGAGGTCACTATAATATTAAAAATGGAATCTATATGTGTTTTTTTTTATTCAGACTAATGGTGGTATTATTGTTGCAAATATTTTTACCTTGTCTTTGGGGCAATCACTATTGCTTATTTGTGGTGAATTTGACTAAAGGAAAAATTCAGTTTATTGATAATCTGAATTATGATGAGGATAATTGTATCTTTTTGAAAAAGTTGTCTAGTCTCCTGGTATTACTTTCTCACTCTTTTCACAATTAAGTTTATTGTTTATTGTTTGTATTGACTTGTTCATAGTGAGCCAAACATTCTCTCTCTTTTCTTGTCTGGTGTTTTGGATTTTATTCCGGGCATTTTTGTTTAAATCACTTTTTATCATCTTTTTAAGACCCTTTCTTTTTACTATCGCATTGCTTATGTGGCTGTTGTGATGCTTCCTGTTGTGATAGCAGGAGTATGGCTATCATCTGATCTGTTATTAGGATCTGATCTCTCTTGAACTTGATCTGCACTTTGTGTGGTCTGAACTTTGTTAGGCAACATTGTAGCTGATAGCGAACATAAAGTTGCAGCATGGTTGTTATAATGACCCTTAATAGATCGTTTAATGCGTCTGTGATCTGATTATATGCTTTTTTGCTAGCGTGATATGATCAGTACCTTCTTTGATCAAAGGCTTACTCAATCTGGAGCTATGGTTGACTATGCTTTGGAGTTTCCTACTTTGAATTGGAGATCTAGCAAAGATAATTCAGATTCTGGTGTTTATATTATAATGAGCATGCTTTTATTCTATGGAGCTGATGAGTTTAAATGTGAAATTATAAAAACAGTTATGATTCTTTCCCATTTAAATTATTTGTTTTATTTCTTTTTATTAATATCACAATATCTTATATTGCTTACTTACTTTTTTAGGCTTCAAATAGGAAGATTCTCCGGATTCAAATTGCTGCATCTTTGGTGTTATCTGATATGAATGAAGCTAGATCAATTATAATTGGTAAGGTGGCTGAAGTCAAACCTGATAGGCAGCGTCTTTCAAAAGAGGTTGAAGAAAAGAAGGAAGAAAGAGATTGAAGAGAGGAAGAATAAGAAGAAGAAAGGAAAGGGGAAGGCTTAAGATGTCAAAACATTGTGTAATTGATTTTTTGACTTAGTTGTGATCATAATTTTCTGATGCTAAGCAAAGTACTTTGAACATTGTATAGCTAATTAGTATTAATTCAACTTTTGTGTAGGTTATTGAATATTGGAAAAATATTCATTTTGGGTAAACAAGCATTTGCCAACATTTTATGAAAATGGTATATTGTTTGTTTAATTCAATTATTAATGTTCTCTGTTATTAAAATAAAAAAGGTCTCTGAAAAAAAAAAGATTTATATATTAACATACGGGTGACTATGTTAATGTGAAATGTTATTTTAAACTTATCTTTATAAAGGTCTTTATGTGATAATAAAGGTAACTATGTTAATATTAGAGGTTAAATATATATTGAAAAGGTTTACGATGAAATGTCACTATATTATCATAGGTCACTATATGTTAAAATAAAGTCACTATATTATTTATACGGCTATTTCACCAAATGCCACTGAGCAATTGCGAAATTCACCAAATGCCATCCAACTTTTCAAAATTCACCAAATGCCACCGAGTTTTAACAAAATTCACCGAGTGCCATTAATGACTAACGACCGTTACTTGACCGTTAGTTGACCCCACCACTTGCCACGTGTCACCTTCTGATTGATCCGTTTTTAAAAAAAAAAATGAAAAAAAAACGCAGAAAAAAAAAAAATAAAAAAATCACCTCAACAGCACCACCCTTATTACCCCAACCAAAACCATTGCCTCCACCAACCCCGCCAACTAATCTGAAATCACCCCCCCATCACTTTACCAGAATTGAAACCACCACCCCCATCAATCCACCAGAAATTGAAACCACCACCCTCCGAAACCCTACACCCACCCAGAACCCTAACCTCTACCAGAATCGAAACCACCTAACGCGCCCCTACCTAAACCGAAAACGCCCTCACTTGCCTCCACGTGAACCGAAGACGCCCTCACTTGCCCCCACCTAAACCAAAATCGATCACCGGGTGAAGTTGTTGCAAGCTGGGCGATGATAGCGACAGTTTAGGTATAATGGTGGTGACCGCCGAAGCAACCCCCATCCCCTTCTCCCCCTCTTTTCCGTCGCGACCCACTGAGGACGTCAAACCCTAGATTTCGAAACCCACAAATTCGCCGGTGATCGATTTTTTGCGGCAGAGGAAGGAGAGGGCGTTTGATTTCGAGAGATTAGCTGGTGGTTTTGGGGTCGAGGTAGGTTGGGTAGGTGGTTTTGGGGGTCGACGGTGGGTCATGTGGGGTGCTAAAGGACCGGCTGGCCGATTTTTGCTGGTTAAGGAGGCTGGCCGTTTTCCGGCAAGGTAAGGGGAGGGGCAGGGTTACGGGGTGGTGGAAAGGGTGGTTTCAACTTTCAAGGGTTTTTTTTTTTTTTTTTTTTTTTTTTTTTTTTTTTTTTTTTTGGTTTTTTTAGTTTTTATTTATTTATTTTTAAATTTTTTTTAAAAAAAGACTAATCAGAAAGTGACACATGGCAAGTGGTGGGTCAACTGACGGTCAACTAACAACCGTTAGTCATTAATGGCACTTGGTGAATTTTCTTAAAACTCGGTGGCATTTGGTGAATTTTGAAAAGTTGGATGGCATTTGGTGAATTTTGAAAAGTTGGATGGCATTTGGTGAATTTTGAAAAGTTGGATGACATTTGGTGAATTTCGCAATTGCTCAGTGGCATTTGGTAAAATAGCCATTATTTATAAGGTCTTTATTTGGTTAAAAAAGGTCACTTCGTTTTCAATATTGTATAATGTCAAAATTAAGGACTATGTTAAATTAATGGTAATTATCGTAGGTCACTATATGTTAAAATAAAGTCACTATTTTATTAATAAGGCTACTATTCTAAATATAAAGGTAACTATGTCAAAATTATGGACTATATGTTAATTAATGGTGAAAAACTGACAATACAAGGGTATGAAATAAAGATTACTAATTAGGAATAAAGATCACTATATTGTGAAAAAAATGTTACTATTCCAAAAAATTTATATCTCCAAAAAAAGGTTACTATGTGATATACACGTTTTATACATAAATTTATCCCGATATTACATCACATTCTTGCATGGTTTTAGGCTCTTTAGAGCCATTTCTCGCTAACAATCTCTTCTCTAGTGTGTTCGGTGTGTTTTTATAAGTTTTAATAGGAATACAGAGTTTCTTAGATGAATCAGACGTGTTTTGGATGATTATAGAAGAGGTTGGTGTGTGAAGAAGAAGGTTTCCCCTATGCCCTGTTGACCCTAGCTTGTCCGGTCCAACAGGGCAATGAAAGATGAGTTTAATATGGAGTAATTGCTGCAGCTCCTACATGCCCGATCGGGCATGGTCCGTTCGGTGGGACCGGGCACAGAGGAGTAGAAGCTTAGCGTTTAAACAAGAAGGCAGCAATCGATTTGGAGAAGCATAGTTGCGCGCCCGATCGGGAACCACCTGCCCGGTGGGACCGGGCGCAAGGGAGAAGAAGCAAAACGCAAGTGGAGCAACCTGTATACCATCCGCCCGATCAGGCGGTGCTCGCCCGGTTGGACCGGGCAAAGGCTTGCGGAATCCGATTTTAATATTTTCGCAATTTTATCTTGTTAAGGGTATAAATTCCCCTTGTAATCATCATTAGAACAATTATTATTTTCCTTAAGTTTTATTTCTCTCTCTAGAACCCTAGTTTATTACTTTTAAGCAAATTAATTCCTTCATTAGATTTGAGTATTGTTAATTAACAATTTGAGTTATTTCAATTGAAGCATCATTGGTATTAATCTCTATTCCCTTCTCTTTCAATTATTATTGTTTTCAATTATGTTTTCTTTGATTATTTTTGTTATTGCTTATTTCGACATGTGTGAGTAGTTTTTATATTCCAAGATCTAGGGTAGCCCAATTATGATTGATGCATGAATTGATTCTTTAAATTCTCTAATAACTATTGCAATTATCTATGCTAAATTGATTGTGATTATGCCAACACTAGATTAGAGATAATTAGTATTGTTATTATTCCATAGTTCTAATCAAAACGAGAGTTGGGTTTTAACGGATTTGAGTAGATCAATTTAGGGTTTGAAATTCATCACGAGAGTAGTTGAATTGATAATTGGGAAGTGAAGTAAAGTGTTTAATGTCTCTAATTTGCATGATTCCATGAGAGTAGGCTTGATTGTGGTTAGAGAAGCCATTGATACTCGAGAGAGATCCTTGGTATTGATTAGGGTTTACTTTTCCCCATGTTATTTGGAATTGTATGCTAGGGGTAGATAGATAATTGCATCGATCGTAATTGTGGTGATACTTGATCTTGGATGTTTTAGTTTATTGATTCATTATATTCTTTTGATTAATTCTAGTTTTTCATACATTAGTTCCTAGTTTATTCTTAAAGGAATGGTGTCCTTCCAACAAGTGTATTCTTCCGATAGAGGGTTCAGAATTATTACAGAGCTAACTCTTCAGTAAGGTCAAGTGATCGGAATGCCTAGGTGGAGGCTGCTTCCGATCAGTAATATCAATGTACAATTGATGTTACAACTTAATCTTAACTGAACCCTTCGGGTCGAACCCAATCGAACCACCGATCCAAGACGACGAATTAATCCGAAAGGATTTAATAAGTCAGCAGAGTTTTACGAATACAGACGTCGGAAATCGAGCCTAGGGCGTCGAGACCGAGCGTCGCAAAATCACAAGCGACAAGTACGAGTGTAGCCGTAGCACCACAATGGTCTAACCATGTAGATGCTAGTCTAGTTCGAGCTAGCATGCACCTAGCATGGCTAGGCGCAAGCCTAAGCACACTAGGTGTGCTAGGCGCACCATCGCAAGCTCAAGGCGCACCATCGCAGCCTAGGCGCACCATCACAGCCTAGGCATGCACATGGCAGCCTATCGCAAAGTGCCACAAGCACCAGGCAGCCCATCGCAGCTAGCAGCGTGCTAGCCTGGGTGCGCATGGCAGGCTATCGCAGCACCATAGCACCACACACAACACCATCGAGTGCTAGGCACATGCGTGTGTGCGTGTGCGTGTGCACCGTAGCCCAGCAGCACGGAGCTGTGTGCTTGTGTGCGTGCCTTCGCATGGCAGCACCAAGCACAACGAGCTAGCAAGCAAGCAACGTCGAGCCAAGCATGCGTTGCTTGCTAGCAGCACGCATGCTAGGCATTGCGTGCGAGAGGGACTGGATGCGTGGGGTGCTGCATGCGTGGTGCGTAGGATGATGCGAGGGAAGGGCTAGCATGCGTGGCTCGCTAGCAGCATGCATGCTGGGTGTGCTAGCAATGGCACGCAAAGGAAGTGTGCGTGGGCTACTGGGGCCAGTGCCAGCACTATGTGCTAGCAGCGCCCAGCGCCAGCACACAAGCACCAGCACCAGCCCAGCAGCAGCACGCACTAGCTGGCTGG